CGGTTTGGGAGGCTGAGGCAGGAGGATCGCCGAGTTCAAAATCAGCCTCAGCAAAAGCGAGATGGTAAGCAACTTAGTGAGAACCTGTCTCTAAATAAAATATGAAATAGGGCTGGGGATGTAGCTCAGTGGTCAAGTGCCTCTGAGTTCAATCCCTAATACCCGCCCCCCGCCCCCCGAAAAAAAAAAGGTGGCCACAAATCAAGTCTCAACACATTTTGTTTTTTGTTGAAGGAGATCAAAATCAAGGCCTCGAACATGCTAACCAGGCACTCTACCACTGACCTACATCCCCAGCTCTTTAAGTTTTTATTTTGGGACAGGGTCTCAATAAATTACCCAGGCTGACCTTGAACTTTTTTTTTTTTAGAGAGAGAGAATTTTAATATTTATTTTTTAGTTATCGGTGGACACAACATCTTTGTTTGTATGTGGTGCTGAGGATTGAACCTGGGCCACACGCATGCCAGGCGAGCGCGCTACTGCTTTAGCCACATCCCCAGCCCTGGCCTTGAACTTTTGATCCTCCTGCCTCAGTCTCCTGAGTAGCTGAGATTACAGGTGTGTGCTATTGTGCAAAATTATCTTTTATTAAACATATTTTCCTTTTATTATGACATACTTTCACACTTCCAATCATGATATCTTCCATCAAATTTCATTGATATTTATGCTATTGCATTTAGCTCTTTGTGTGTATTGTATATACTCTCATATATAACTATAAATCCATATGTTCTATATGATAGGTATTAACACAACAATCCAAGGAAACTTCTGTCTCTTTGGTACTAGGAATTGAATTAACTCAGGAGCACTTTACTACTGAGCTACATTCCAGTAGTACCGTTTCCAACTTTTCACCTCACATTTTCCCCTGGGAATTACTAAATGCCTCCCTGAAAATTCATCTACTAAGTATCTCCTATGTGAGAGGTTTTGGTTTCATTGTTGGCCATAACAATAAAATAAACAACCCCTCTGCTCAAAGAACTCAGTCTAGAGGAGAATGTAAATTATTAATATAGTGTGATAAATGCTACAATAGAGGTATGTGCTTTGTCTACTATTCTGCATCTTGTGTTCTTCATGGAATCCAGTTATATAATTTTATCTGCTATTTTTCTCCCTTCTCCTTGAGTTTAAAAGCCCTCTTGATGAGACCAGCAAATCTCCTGCCAAATACATTCTTCTAATTCTTGTGAAATTCAGAGGTTACAAAAGACTGGAAGTTTCCCAAACAGCAGAAATGATGAGCGAAGGTCTGATCTAGAAAGGAAGAAGGTCTACTTAAGGACAAAAAGATTCCTGAAGCTCTTGATTTAATCCCCAGCAACACACACACACACACACACACCCCTAGAAATCACCTGAACCAGTGTAGTGATTCACACCTGTAATCCCGCCTACTGGGGAAGACGGACAGCCAAGTTTGAGGACAGCCTGGACAATTTAGCAAGACCCTGAGTGGAAATAAAAATCAAAAGGGCTAGGGATATAGCTCAATATAGAGTGTCACTGAATTCAAACCCCAGTACTGGGGGGGGGGGGGCGGAATCCTGATGAGAGCGAGTACTGGAAGGCTACTTTGAAAATGAAGGTTGATGCCAGATCTAGACTACAGATTGCTCAAAAGGCCAGGCTGAGACACGTGCTCCAGTCACTAGGCAAAGAAGACCTATTGTATATTATCAACTCTGACTGATAAGATAAAAATGTTATTTTAAGATTGGCTATGCAGTGATGCTTCAAAAAGGCTGAAATTAGAAAGTTCTGAAGGTCAAAAGCTAATAAAGCTCAACAAACACCTACTGAAAACTCACATTCACCGAGGTAAGAAAATGAAAGCCAGTCCCTACTTTTGAAGTGCCTAGCCAATTAGGAAGGGAAACAAACAAACAAACAAAAATATAGTAATGTAAAGTTTGGCACAGTGGCGCACACCTGTAATTCCAGTTACTTGTGAGGCTGAGGAAGGGGGATTTCAAGTTTGGGGCCAGTCTGGGCAATTTAGCAAGACTCTGTCTCAAAATTAAAAAAGAGACTGAAGATGAAGCTCAGCAGTAGTGCACCCAGTTCAATTCTCAGTACTCAAAAAAAAAAAGTATAACACATATGATGAACACATTATGACACATGCATATGGTAAACACAAACCTGGTATAAAGTAGGATGAAAGAGGAAGTCCAATTTAGTATGAAAAGGAAGGCAGAAGAAGGCAAGCTAAGTGCATGTAGCTGGTGAGCCCTAATGCTGGAGCTTCACCTGCTGAAACAGGTAGTTATGAGGAAAGGGAAAGAGAACTTTAAAGGTAATGGCCTGGAACTGCCTGTTAGGGTTATTAACCAAACAGTTAATGAGGGAGAAAGAGGAATGTTCTTTTAACAATGATCAAACCAGAGGGCATGGTTATATAGTAAGCCAGATCACTTTACTTCTAGGATTCTAACTTTGAACTATAAAACAGAAAGAAGCAAAAGATAGATGTTGGCAGGCCAGGAAGGGTGCTAGAAAACTCATCTATAGTGATAGAAAGTGGTTGCTTAAAAAGAGAGAAAGGGAGAGATTGGAAGGGGCACCTGGAAAAAACCTGGGGATTTCTGTGTTCTAAATCTTATTTAGGGGTGGGCTGGGTGGTGGCTCAGTGGTAGAGTGCTTGCCTTGCACATTCGAGGCCCTGGGTTCAATCGTCAGCACACATATAAAATAATTAAAGTAAAGGTATTGTGCCCAACTACAACTAAAATAAATAAAATAAATATTAAAAAGTAAATAAATCTTATTTAGGGAAATGGTTACAAGGGAGCATACCCCAAACTCAATGAATTAAACACTTAAGAACTGTGCATTTTATTATAGATAAATTATGCCTCAGTAATAACAGTAATGAGGAAATGCTATAATCTATCACAAAGATTGAGGGAGGGGAAAAAAGAAACAAGAATAGTTATGACTCAGAGAGGAAATCGGACCACAGGAGAAACTTCCCAAAGGGATTTGGTTATTTGAGGAAAGAATAAATGACACAATTTGCCCTTTCAACTTTAACTTCTGACCCAACAATGTCTGGCTAAACTCAGATTAGCTCAGGGAGAAAGTAGGATAGCTCTGAGGCCGAGAAGTTGGGGAGTCCAGATGAATGAGGATTTTATAATGTGGACGGTGAGAGAAAAGATGTAGGAGGGCTGGCAATAATCCAGAAAGCAGAAGGGAAGAGGAAAAGAAGGTGAGAAAAAAAAAAAAAAAAGCAAAGAATGTAAGAAATGTAGGAAGGAATTTTCTCAGAAACTTGAAAAAACAGAAAATTGAATCCACCTCTGGCCCAACCTTCTCTTCCACAGATAAAAGAATAAAATTTTAAAAAATCAAACTTAGGGGGAAAAAAACTCTGCCATTGAAAGGTCTCAAGGAGCCAGGCACAGAGGCACATGCCTGTAATCCCAGCTACTCAGGAAGCTGAGGCAGGAGGGTTGCAAGTTCAAAGCCACTTAGCAAAATCCTGTCTCAAAATTAAAAATAAATAAAAGGACTGCAGATGGAATGCAGTGGTAAAGTACCCTTAGGTTCAATCCCCAGTACCAAAACAAAACCAAAAAAGCCTCAAAAGATATGCATCAAAGTATATGCACCATATTAAAGGGAAGTTAGATGCTTGCTGCATTGTGTTGAATTTAGTTTCAGTAAGTATTTGCCATTTCAGGTTTTTTGTTTGTTTGTTTGTTTTTTAATCAACTAAATTTAGCAAAATTTAGTTGGAATCAGAACAGCGTTGACAAAAATCAGGGAATTGTTTGGGGTGGCAAAGGAAGGGCTCCTCATATCTGTAACACGTATATGACACATAAATATAGGGATAAAGGGTATCATCAATTCTCTTTTACCCAAAGGCCTGGAATTGCTTTTCATTTCCTGAACTCTAAAACAAAGTCTGAAGAAAGTGATGTTGGGGCTCACGAGCAATAGTAGGCAAACTCTTCCTATAAAGGGCTTAAGAGTAAAAATTTTAGGCTTTGAAGGGTATACAGTTTCTGTCATTATTCTGCCGGTTTTGCACAAAAGTAGCCATAAACAATTCAAAAAGGAATGATCACAGCAATATGGATAGCTGGAGCTATTAGTTTGTGGACCTCTGGTATAAAGAGCAGTGATAACTAGTTTCTTACTGCATATTAGATTCATCAGAGGAGCTAAAAAAAAAAAAAAAAAAAATCCACAAATGCCCAGGTCCCACCCCACCAACATAATCTGGGGTTGGGCCCAATTTTATTTTGGGTGGGAGGGGGATACCAGGAATGAACTCAGGGGCACTCAACCACTGAGCCACATCCCCAGCCCTATTTTTATTTTTTATTTAGAGACAGGGTCTCACTGAGTTGCTTGGGGCCTCGTTTTGCTAAGGCTGACTTCAAATAACTGGTGATCCTCCTATCTCAGTCTCCCAAGCAGCCGTCTACTGGGATTACAGGCATGAGCCACCACATCCGGCCTTTTTTTTTTTTTTTTAGATGAGGTCTTGCTCTGTTGTTCAGGGTGGCCCTGCTGGGCTCAAATAGTCCTACTGTCTCAGGTTTCTGATAGGATGGGACATAGGCACAAGACATTACTCCCAGACCAAGCTTTTTTTTTTTTAAGTTTCTAGGCCATGTACACCCTAAAAACAACTGTTCTAGAAGGAGAATTATAGTTACCCAGGCAACTGCTAGAATTTGGGGGTAAGGCCAGGTAAATAAATGCTGGAAAGATAAATGATCCAGCACTGAATTGAGGTGTAGATTAATATTAGAACCATTTTCTTTCTTTCTTTTTTGCCATACTGTACTGGGGATTGAACCCAGTCACTCTTTCTTTCTTTCAAACCACAGGATCTCAATAAATTGCCTACTGGCTTTGAATTTGCAGTTCTCCTGCCTTAGCCTCTCAAGTAGTTGGTATTACAGGCATGTACCACCACACCCAGCCAGACCCATTTTCTGCCTGCCTAACAAATTAAGTACTTCCAATACTTGATAAAATGTTCTTTATTAATGTTTCTGTGTGCAAAGCACTAAAAGGAGTTGCCTAGCCCAGCAAGTCATCTCCTTCATCACCCTTTGTTAAGGTGGGAGGGAGAGATAAGGGTTCTGCCTAACCCTCTTTCTCGAACCATTCCTTATAGGCCCCAGCATAGTTTCGAGCCCTGTGGAAACAAAGAGGGGTAAGGGAAGGACAGGCCCAATAGGCAGTCCCCAATCACTTCCCAGCTAGCAAGCCACACGTTGCCCATGCCCATACCCTGTGTATCCAAGGCGCCGGGCCAGCTGTGTGGCCTGGAAGCCCCGTTTTCCCATTTGACAGAAGAAAACAAGATTCTCATCTTCTTGCTTTGGCTTCTCAGTGCGGTACAATGCTTTGAATGCAGCTGGCTCCATCTGCAGGGCACTTTCCAACTCGGACACTGGGAGAGGAGTCCAGAGAATAAATGGAAAGCAAGTCTTGATTCTCAGGGTCAGAAATCAGGCAAGAAGAGCTGGTGATGGAACAAAATCTCCAGGCCCCAAACCAATATATGGTGGCCACCTCCCACCCTGTCAAAGTCAAGAAACAGCTTACCCTTAAGGAAATTTGCCAAATGACCTGTGAGTGAGAGTCACTTCCTGAATCCTGGGTGTGTGTGTGTGTGTGTGTGTGCAGCCAGGAGGAGCAGGTAGACTTAGGCATCTAGCTTCAGGGAGGTCAAGCATATAGAAGCTGGTTTGCCCCTCTCCTTACCCTCTGCTCTCCCCTCAAACTGGATAGGCCAGTTCCACTGCCAGGATCCGCCTCCAATCAGCCCTTCTCTGTGGGAAGCTGAGGGCAGCTTAGGGAAATGTAGGATTCCCCTCACCCCGCCTCTGTATTTTGCCTTCCCCACGCCATTCTGAGATCCCACTAGCTAAGACCCTTCTGGGCTGTCTCCTCCAATCCCATACCCGGGATGTTGACTGCCCCTGGGATGGTTCCCGCTGCAGCCTCCTCCCGAGATCTCACATCGAAGAGCCGGGCCCGGCCTGATGTTAGGAGTGACCGGAGTTCAGGAAGCGAGACCGAGACCGTGGACGCTGAAGAAGAGGGCACATGCACCTTCAGAGGAGGACTATGAAGAATGGGTGCCTCAATACCCCCTCCCCTAGCAGCACCCTAACCTCTCTGGTGCCCCTTCACTTCTCCCTCCACATACACCTCCACCCTGGGGGCCTCACACACTCCCAGGGCCACAGATAGAACTGGACATCCCAGGCTCCCTCACAGGTACCTCCAGCCATGGTGCGGACAGCGATTACCAGTTGCAGGAATGTGGCCCCAGCCCGCCCCCTCGCCGTGGGCAGCATCTCTCCCTTCCTCCCAGAGCCCAGACCGGAACCGGAAGCAAGGCACCGCCTCCCGCACAGTCCCCACAGCACCTGTTCGTGGTGCCTCTCAACATCCCACAGGAGAAATCTGCTATTGCCAGGGTGAGCCGGAAACAACACCCGATCTGGCACAGGTAACACAACTCAGGGTAATGAGTATAGGAATGGCACCCCACCCTAAAGTTGGCACAGCCCTTATTGGTCAAAGGGTAATGTGCCCCCTCCCTTTTGATTTGGGGCCCACAAAAGGAGAAAAAAGAGACAACTGTGGCTCCGAACAATTTTATCTTAAAAAAGGGGGGGGAACACCCCCACAAGGGGAAAGACCCCAAGTGGGCCCCTGCCTGTTATTCTCCCTGGCTTCAGAGACTTCTACACAGGCCTTAGCTGCTTGTTGGCCAGTTTCTTTGTGGGACAGTAGACACTGCTAAGCAACCTTCCCCATTTCTTCATTAAGTCTGTTCCCCAGAGTGGCAGGTCCACATCTAGAACCTCAGTTCCGGGGAAAGGAAGAACCAACGGAAGTGCCAGAGTCCTGGGGCAAGCCAGAGTATCACTTGTCAGCAGACCCTCTGCTGAGTACTCTAAGCACAGGGCAAGCCCCCCAGTTTAGTATGTCCAGTATCCAGCTTGGAGACAGCACATGCATTGTGCAAGAGGAGCATGAGGACCCAGGGGCTGCATGGTAGGGGTAGGCAAGGCTGTCAGTGCATGTTCACAATGTGTGTTTCACACTACTGCAGGCTGCCATACCACAGGCCCTCAGTTCAAAGACACGCCTTTTGAACTCCCCAGAGTCCCATGCCAGAAGTGGGCAGTGAAGGAAAGGGACACGGGATAAGCCTGTCGCTCCTGGGCTATCTGCAGTTCTTGGGCCCAAAGCCCCTGAATCCCCATAGTTAGTTGCTGTCATTCTTGATGACGACCTCTAATCCGTGGTGCCGCAATTGAGCTCGTAGCAGCAGATTCTTGTTTTTAAGGTCTTCCACCTAACATGGAAAGAAGGCAGTCAAGGAAATGGGTAGAAAAGTTGACACTACCAAGCCCCTGAAATTAGACATCCACTGGTGAGGAGGAAAATGTGAAGTGCTGTCAATGGAGAATTAAGTACAGAGTCCCAAACTGGGTCAGTGGGCTATAGGGGCCTAGTGGGTAATACTGGGATTAGGAGTCTGACCTGCTGTCGAAGTACATCATTGTCCAGCTGCAGTTGATCTAACCCCTGCAATTCTTCAGACAACCTGTGGTTACTCTGCCGAAGCTCCTGGATATAATCACAGGCTTTGGATAGAATTCCACCTTTACTCTGCAAGACAAAGTCAACAAAATGAGGACTTAGGATTTAAGACATCTAGCATTATGCTTTCCAAAACAACATTCACACTTTGGACTTTATTTTCCCCTCAGGATGGTGATATAGCATCTCCCATGGATGTAGGGACCTTAGAGAAAGATATGAAGAGTGAATGAAAAGTGTATGCCCCACACTCTACTATTTCTGGAAATAATACCAGGAGACAGAATTCAGGCCTCCCATCCACTACCAGGGTCCTTCCATGACCTGGCCAGACTTGGTGCTCTCCATAGAGCAGTCTGGGATGATCTTGGACAGCTGCACAATCCAGTTGTTGATCTTGTCTCGGCGGCGGCGCTCCACTGTGGGTCAAAGTGGAGGACACAGTGACTCAGTGAACACTCACAAGCCCCAGGATAAAATGACCAACCCTTCCTCCCCTCAGATAGCATCAGACATACTAAACTAGGGGACCTGCCCCTTGTACTTGTTTATAGTGCATAACAGAGGTCTGCTGGGTAATGCCCTGGCTTGCCCCAGGACTCTGGCACTTCCACTGATTCCTTCTTTCCTTGCAAGTCCCTAGCCCAATTAGACAAGTTCCTGGCTTCACATCTGGAACACAGCACCTACCTTCATTATGCTGAGCTCTGCGTTTCTCATCCCGGGTTGTCCGGGGAGCTTCTGATTTCCTGACAACAGAGCAGGATGATCAGAGTGAGGGAAGGACAAAAGAAATTTAAAAATAAGATTTGAGTTTGGGGTAAGGACTTATACAAATTACAGTGGGTATTAAGACTATTCATGGTAACTGAGAAGAAATGGGTCACTCACGGGGAATAAGGGTGGGTCCTGGGGGCAATTGAGCGCTGGCTTCCTCCCTGTAATACTTCTTGTGGTGACATCATCACAAAGAATTGACCTGTGAAGATGCGGGGCAGGTTCTGCCAGGACTTGGAACTAGAAAGTTCAACAAGGCCCTGGGACCCTTCTCTGAAAAGAACATGCTCCTTCCTGCTAGCAGATCAGCCCCAAATTCTCTGTCTGGCCAGGTCTTAGTCTTTACTAAGGGTTATGAATAAAGGTCCACTGCCCCAGCCATGTCCCCCAGCCCTTCCTGGCCCTGCCATCTAGCATCCTCATGCAATATCTCACCAGTGCCGGGAGGGGTTGCCTGCCCCAGTAGTGCCTCTGAGCCCTGGGTAGTAACGACAGCAGCTGTACTCCCCGATGTGGTGCCCCCTGCCCCATCACCCACGGCAGTGCTGGGAAAGTAAGTATAATGTGTCTCGGCAGCTGTCCCCTCTGTATCAACTGCATCATCACTCGTGAAAGCACCCTGGATCACCGCCTGGAAAGGGGAGCAAAAGAACAGAGTCCAGTGACAATCAGATACTTCTTCCCCCTACACCACTCTGTAGCTTTATCCCTTGAAGAGGGAAGGCGAAACATCTAGAAAGGGAAAGCCTAGTGCCTTCAGTCAAAGCAGTCTGAGATGTCTCACTGTTCCTGGTTTCACCTCCAATCTATTAGTTCCCTTCTTCCTCTTATTACTCAGAGATTTAGCCCATCCCCAGCCCATCCCCCTGTACCTGGGTCATGGATTGGGTGGCAGGGTAGCCACTAATGGCTCCAGTGCCCTCAGTCTGGCCATCCAGCTGCCCCTCAGACACCTGGATCACCCTGTACATCACCTAGAAGCAGAGAGGAAGGGGGAAGGGTAGGAAGGGAAGACAGAAGAATAAGCACTTGGAATCTCAGGATCCTTCATAAAGCTTCCCTTGGACAAAGCCCCAAAACAAAAACCCTTCAGAGACATAGATTCAGCTGTCCTCTCTTCTTTCTCTATACTGAGGTTTCATCATTCCCCTTTCCTATAATAATTTCTCCCCTAGACCTTTTATCACCACCACCCCCAAGAGTCTACATTTTCACCTCCTCCTCCAAGTCACGTCTCCCCAAGATGTTTGATTACCTCCCTCAACCCCAACCCCAGGTAACACCTGCAGCCACCTGGCCCCCTCCCTTACCTGGCCCCCATTCTCAGTTCGGAAGACGTACTTGACGTTGGGGTCAGGGAAGGTGGCAGCTGACTGGATGCTAGCGATAGCCACACTGGTTGGGTCCTCCCCTGTAGCCACTGCACCTGAATTAAAAGAATGAAGGAAAGTCTGTGAGTTAACTGCCTTTCTCCCTCTGTTCTACTTGAATGTCCTTAAGAAGAAAGAAGATAGAAGATTGTGGCTCAGTGGTAGAGCACTTGCCTAGCATGTGTGAGGTATTGGGTACAATTCTCAGCACCGAATATAAATGAATGAATAAAATAAAGGTCCATTAACAACTACAAATTTTTTTTTTTTTTAAGAAAAGAAAGAAAGAAGATATACAGAAGATAGGCTAGTGGGGGATGGAGAAAGTCCATGACCTTGGTCTTGGTCCTAGTTTTAACACTCACCTTCCTGAATCTGCACTGTCCCCTCTTCTGTTTCAGCTGTTTTCTGCTGCCTGATTGTGGTGAAAGGACAAAGGGAAGAAGTGAATGAGAAGCTCACTGGCACAGTAACATATGACTCCCAAACTCACTGGTATTACCAATAGATGGGTTAGGTTAGAATACAAGTTAGTCTAAGTGTTTACTATGTACAGGTCCTAAGCTAAGCACTTAACATGCATGAGCTTATTTAATACTAATAAGAGCACTATGAGGTAGGTACCATTACTTCCATTTTATAGATGGGGAAACTGAATCACACAGCTGGTAGGAGATGGAGCTGGGACTTGAATCCAGGTCAGGCTGACCTCCAGAGACAGTACTCTTAGACATTTTGCATCTCTCTCATATCAGACCCTACCTCTTCTTCACTCACCCCTTCATCTCTCTGTGAGGGAGTACATCCGAGGAGCTGGTCCCTTTTTGAAGGTCTTCGTATCTCCCTGAGTGCTAAGTCCTGGTAGATATCATGAAGTTCACAGTGAGTCCGGGAAACTGAACAGCTTGCCTAGTTCTAGATCCTCAAAGACAAAGCCAAGAAAATAACCCAATCATCTGCAAGGGACAACTGACTTCCCCCATTCTGAAGCTGAGGACTGAACTGTAGTGATTGAAAAAATAACTCTACAAATTGTGTTCCTCATCCCTCTATTATCACTCCAGCACCTGGTGGAGAGGGGATAATTATTCTGGAAAACATATATTTGAATGGATTCTTAGTAAAGGTATTATGGATTACTAATAAAGCTATAAAGATCTGCCATAACAGCAGCTTCATGGGGATTAGGAAGGGCCATGTTTAGACAATCACTATAAAAAAAAAAAAAACAGGATCTCCAGACCCAGTGGAGCATGCCTGTAATCCCAGCAACTCAGGAGGCTGAGACAGGAAGATCACAAGTTTGAGGCCAGCCTCAGCAAATTAGTGAGGCCCTAAGCAACTACGTGAGACTCAAAATTAAAATTTAAAATCTCAAAATTAAAATTTTAAAGGGCTGGAGACATAGCTCAGTGGTAAAGTGTCCCTGGGTTTAATCACCAGTACAAGAAATAAGAAATAAAATAAATAAATAAAACACACAGAGTCATGGACACTGATACTTCACAACTCGCAGACAGACTAGATAG